CGGGCGCCCCCGCGGGTACCACCGTGGCACCCGCAGGCACCCCGGGGGCACCCCCGGGCCCCATGCGACCCCCGGGGTACCCACGGGACACCACCGGGACACCTCAGGTACCCCCGGCACACCCCCGGGACACTGCCAGGGCACCCCCGGGGCACCCTCAGAACACCCCCGAGACACCCCCGGGACACCCCCGTGGGACCCCGGGACACCCCCGAGACACCCCAGGGAACCCCTGGTGCACCCACGGGGCATCCCCGGGACACCCCCGGGGCACCCCCGGGGTTCCCCCGAGGAACCCCGGGAGCAACCTCGGGACACCACTAGGACACCCCCTGGACACCCCCGGAAATCACTGGTACAGCCCTACGGGACCCCTGGAGCACCCCCGGGACACCCCTGGGACACCCCCGTGGCAACCCCGGGGCAACCCCGAGACACCCCTGGGGCTCCCCCGGGGCACCCCCGGGGCATCCCCGGGACACCCCCGGGACATCCCCGGGACACCCCCGGGGCACCCCAGGGACACCCCCGGTACATCCCCCGGCACCCCCGGGGCTCCCCGGGGCTCACCCGCTCCCCCGGGGGACACCCCTGGAACACCCCCGGGGCACCCCCGGGGTACCTCCGTGTGACCACTTGAGCCCTCACGGCGCGGTCGCCACTCCTTATACTACTACTAATAGGCTATGTTATCGTCTAATCCATTATGTGTTTCTAGATTATAGTCTCTTTAAATTACGTTCATATTTGGGTAATTTTTTTTCCTTGCTTTTAACCCTCGGGTTCTTAAAATGTTATGTTGTTACACTAATAACATATCTTGCTATTACTTTCAGGATTCGGATATCAAACTAGTTCCTGAAACTTGTCTTAACTTATTACAGTCCATTGTTCTTTACTAAGACAATGGTTGTAATATCTTCTTCTTAGAATTGAACATACATAATAGTATTCTATATTACATTAATCTACAGCAGAAATTGTTTTCTAAGCGAGAGTAGTAAAGACCACTCCCGTGTACCTATGACATTTCCGGCACCCTTGCCTCTGCCTGTCCATCAAGCAGACCACTCCCGTGTACCCATGACATTTCTCTCTTTTCTCTCTCTCTTTCTTCTTGATCGGCCACTCTTTTGGAAAATATTGCATAATGCTTCTAATTTCCCTTCCTTCCCGTTTTAAGATGTAAAGGAATATTATAATAATATTTTTAATAATATCTCACATTACTTTCTAAATTAAATTAGGGAAATTACTTTAATTCTCATATTATAATAATATTTTTACTAATTCTAATTAAGTTTAACACTTAATTTAAGTGGTTCCATGTTCCCCACATTTTTCTTGTCGAGACCAAACTTTCCATTTTTCAAAATGAGTCTCTTTCTGGTACCGATAATTTCACACCCAGTACAGGTTCTAACTGCTTTTCTAGACTGCTGAGCCCCCGAGGTCAAATTTCTCGTATTCAACCCATTTCTCTTGGGTATCTCAATAGTCAATTTCTTTTTCTGAAATTTTCATTTTAAACGATCCAGAATTGCCCAAAACGCGTACCCTCGCGGTACTCATTTTTTTAGCAGTTTCCCTCTTTAACTGACTCGGGAAAATGCTGTTTCAGGAACTTTTGCTATTTTGCTTACTTCTAATATTTCTATTCTTTTTCTAACTGGTCATTTGGACATTTACCAAATATTTCAGTTTTTCGTAACTAAAATATACCTGTTAAAATTTCTAACTTTTAACTGATATTTCACTATTCACAACTGATATTTATGAATTTTCTCTGTAAAAATATTCGTATCATAACTTTACACTTTTCGGGTAATTTTACCTCGTATATAAAGTTTTTACATAACACTTTCCTGATTACATCAATATTTCTACTACTTTCCGTTCCGGGAAGAATTACGGTCACATACCGGACTGTCCGGATTAGACTTAAAATTTTTTCGGTCATTACATTCACCCCTCCTTAAGAAATTTTCATCCCGAAAATCAGAACAACTGGGGGTACTTATGTCTGATCTCTTCTTCTACTTCCCAAGTGGCGTCTGCAACATTGTGATTTTTCCACTGCACTTTAACCATTGGGATACTACGACTTATGAGTTTCCTTTCTTCTCTGGCTAGAATTTGGACTGGTTGTTCCTCATAAGACAAATCTTCGTGAACCTGGATAGGTTCATACTGTAACACGTGCGATGGATCCGAGATATACTTCCGGATCATTGCTACATGAAACACACTGTGCACTGAAGCCAATTCTGGCGGTAGAGCTAGTCGGTAAGCAACCTTTCCTATTCTTTCAATGATCTCGAAAGGCCCTATGTAACGTGGGTTCAGCTTACCTTTCTTCCCAAACGCATCACACCCTTCATTGGTGCGACTTTCAGGAATACGGAGTCCCCTACAGAAAATTCCAATGGTCTCCGTCATTTATCTGCATAACTCTTCTGCCAGCTCTGAGTCGTCTCTAATCTTCTGCGGATCTTTTGCACTATCTCAATGGCCTCTTGAACGAATTTTGTCTTGTGAAGCTGCTTTTCCCGAGTGTCATACCAATGAACTGGGGATCTACACTTCCTTCCGTAAAGTGCTTCATACGGGGCCATACCGATGGAAGCTTGATAACTACTATTATACGAGAATTCGATCAATGGCAACTTCATACTCCATGCACCCTTGAAATCCACTGCGCATGCACGAAGCGTATCTTCTAGGGTCTGAATGGTCCTCTCTGACTGGGGATGAAACGCTATGCTATAGCGTAATTCTGACCCCATCGCTTCCTGAACACTTCTCCAAAAATTGGAGGTAAATCGGCTGTCTCTGTCCGACACTATACTAACTGGTAACATAGCTAACCTCTCTAAGGAGTAAGTTATCTTAATCAGAATGAAATGCGCTGATTTCGTTAGCCGATCCACGACTACCCAAGAGTTTATTCATCATTTTATGTGCAAATATTTATGAATATTTTATGAATATCAAATGAAAATTCTGTGATTATTTATGTAACCTTAAACATAGTATATAAGTTTTATATACGAGAGGATAGTGTTTAAGGATAATAATCAAAAACATTGTTCATAATGAATTTAATTAAAGTTCAGAATCTTTAATTAAAACATTATTAATACATGTCATTCCCATTTAGAATGGAACGATGCTATCCGCACTATTAATATGGTGAGATATTGAATGAGTGTATTTCGCATAATGAGATTCTGTGGAACAGGGACACAGACACAATATGAAGTTGATGAGATCCATTCCTTCTTGAGAAAGAAGTAGATAAATAATTCTCTTGAGTGTTGATTCGGTACTTGGCTTAGTAAGAGCGCTCTGGTTCATGAATGTGTTTTATGAATCACTATCCATTGGAGAATCAATGGTACTCAATGATGCAGATATAATTAGAGAGGTTAACGGATTCTACCTGACTCTAATTATGAATTATTTATGGAGGATTGATCTATATGCAATGACTATATCAAATGGACACTTCACAGTTTAGAAGTAATTA